CCCCCCCCCACCCAATAGCATTACTCTTGGCTCTTGTGCAGCCCACTTTTAGGCCTTTTGTAGGACTGTTTTTCTATGCCCAAATCTTAGAAAACTCCAAGATTGTGGCTTGAAAAATTCCAAGTTTTTCCTTCCTTGAAACTTAACTGTGCTGCCTTTTCATGTATGCGTTTCTCTCTCTCCCCTCACATTGAATTTCTTAGAAACATCACCTGATTGCTGCCTGATTAACATTGCTCCATGTCTCCAAGCTCTGCAATCAGTATTCCACCCCCACTAGTTCACAGAAACATCTTTGTAAAGGTCCTATCAATGGTCTCCAAATTGCTTTATTTTGATAACCTTTCCACTTTTTCTTATCTGCTTGTCTGTGGCATTTGACACGACAGTGCACCTCTTTCTTTCTTGTCAAAAAGTCAAAAGCAGAGTTTCTAGATGGAGTCCTGCTTCTCCTTCTGCCTCTGTCCCCACCTTTCTTCTCCCTGCTCACTCACACTCCTTCCTTGCAGACTCAGACATCAAACGCCAGGTACCTCCTCTAAACAAGGACCCTCAGATGTGCACGTTGGCTGGAACATTCCTCTAGAGCCATGGCTTGCATTCCCAGCTTCCTCCCAAAGACCAGCCCAAAGGAACTAGTCAAAACCCAAATCCCCATCCCCTCAGTCCTCCCTCTCATGGACATCCATTCTTGTTGGTCGAGGGCATCACCCCGCTCCCAAGACCAGACCATAAAATTCAGTCTTCAAGCCCTGCCTCCTTCCACAGCCAACATGCCACCAAACCTGATGGCTCAGATAATAGCAGCACTGGAACGAATATATGAGGGGTTCATCTCACCCCATCCCATGTCTTTCACATGGGAGGATGAGGCCTGGAGAGTCTGCCCAGATCACCCAGATCATTCCTCACACAGCCCCTCCCAGCCACACAGCAAAGAAAGGTGTGAAAGTAGACAGGATTACTGAGGAAGGAGGCTCCAGGCGGAACACTGTGCCTTGGGGGCTGAGGGTTGTGGGAACAGGGTCTCTAGTGGAAGGGCTGGGTGTTCTGGTAATGGGAGTAGTCTGATAGGCAAGGATGGGGTGCTGCAGACAAGAAGCCTAGATCAAGTGTGATGATGCAAGAGACACTTCTGATACGTGGCCCCCTGCTTCCCTGGTCTTCTGCTCACAGCTGTTAAGTGGAAGCTGTGGAAGGAGGCTGCTTGTGTGCCAGTGATGACTGGTGGGTCTGGTCTCATTCACCAGCAAAATAGTGTGAGTTATCTGGTGCTGCAGGTGTCTTACCCCGCCAAGACTGCAGGTGCTTGTGTATGGTCCCTGAACTCACCCCATCCTCACCCACCAGCACACATACTCCATGAGCACTCGAGCACCTGTGCAGATCAGGGAATGTCATGCTGAGTCAATGCACACTCGGGTCCTGGCCTCACGGCACTGAGTCTGGTGATACCCACAAGCAAGTGCCCTCGTGTGGTAGAGTCTGGAAGAACCAGGCCCAAGGGGTGTGGAGGATCCCAGAGGGGCACCACACCCCAAGAGATGCCACCACGTGGGGGCCTCACAGAGAGACAGGCGTCAGCTTGTGGGACAGGAAAAAGGGAGTCATCTTGGAGGCAGAGAGATGCAGCCGCATCCCAAATCGGGTAGAAAGTCCTCTCCTGGGAGGATTGGAGAGACAGCTATTTTGCAGAATCACCCTCCAGGCCAGCAGCTTCCCCACATCTCTGGGATGGCAAGAAAGGTGACAGGAGAAGCTGAGGAGAACGAGACCCCTAATGTATTGTAGTGCAGGGAGCTCAGAAATGAACAGATAAGCCAGGTGCAGTGACTCACACGTGTAATCCCAGCACTTTGGAAGACCGAGGCAGGAGGATTGCTTGAGCCCAGGAGTTTGAGACCTGTCTGGGCAACATGGCAAGACCTTATCTCTACCAAAATTCTTTTTAAATAAAATAAACTTTAAAAATATAAAAAAGAAAGTGAAAATGAGCAAAGAACATAATCCTTAGCCTATGAGTTGTTAGTTTGCGGACAAAAAGAGATCCATTATTTAGAACTTTGTGTTAACATTCTTTGAGACACTATGATAAAAAGTATCTACTTTCTGTGTAGCAATGTTTCAGAACTTTTCATTTCAGTGAAAATGGAAAACAAAAAGCATACAGTAGGAAGAACAAATATTATTTCATAACAGCCAAGAAATCTCCTTGATAAAAAAAATAATCATTTTAATGGTCTATTTGGCATGACCTTGACAATCTAAGTTAACAATAGAAAAGGCTTTCTGGACCATGTCGTTTTGTCCTTGGTTTTGGAAAATAAAGAAATAAAATCCTGCCCACAGAGCTCAGCCCTGAACCAGCCCGTCACCAGCAACAGTGTCCAAATGAGAGTCCCACAACACTCTCCTACGCATGCTGGGGAATTTAGAAATTCGGGCCGTGTTATTATGCATATCCCTTTTTTTGGCCAAATACATTGAGATTTAAAATTTATGTTCTTTGGTGGGATTTGATCGGCCAAAATGGAATGTTAGACATGGACTTCCAGGGATCAAAATTCGTATTGAAAATGTGGTAACTCCATTTTTTTCAAAATCTTATTCCCTGTTCCTGATTGGACAAATACATGGTCACTTTCACCTCCTCATAAATACGTTTTTTTTCCTTGAATTTTCATCCCTAGCGCTGCCTCCTGGGGCTCCCACACCTATGAAGGTGGTACTGGGAATAAAATGCAAGCTCAATTCCCCTTGAAGGGATGAGATGGAAGCCAGGATGGGACCGGGCTCTGAATCAGTGACTAGGTTCACAGCTGAACCACAAACAGACATAGGCAGGCAGGGTGAGAGAATGCTCATCAGTCAGAAGATGATGGCCGGGAGGCAAGGCCTAGGCAGGCAGGGAGGGTCTGGGACTGACAGCAGCAGGACGGATCTGGAGACCAGCCAGGGACTGGACGGAAATTGATGCACATTTAAGGAAATCCCACCATGTGCCTCCACCCCAGGGAGTGGCCCACCACGAGGCAGTCAGAGCGGGGCCTTTGTGGAGTCCTGCCCCTGCCATCTTAGTCGACTGGTTGACCCAGTGGTGGTGAGAGAGGGTGTCCAACTGCAGCTCCAGCCCATAGCACCAATGCAGTTCAGAGCAATGAGACAATACTCACGCTGGAGATGAAAGCCAGTCCACTGGGAAGGATGTCGACATCCTCAGAGCCGTGTTCTGCAAAAGAGGTGAAGAATCAGAGACACATATGTGAGGGCTGGAAAAACAGACCTCACAGACCAGACTCTGCACTGCAGGGGGAAGTTCCTGGAAGTTGTTGACTTTTTGAACCATTTGTTTGGGAGAGGATGTATTAACTTTCAGAAATCCCACAGGCACGCTACTCTACAATAAAACCCAAGTCAGGCTCCTGAAATACTAAATGTCTTTGTTAGCACTCCATTTTCAGGACAGAAAGGCAAATAACTAGAAAATAAACTCCTATTCCAGATTGTTTCTTTAAGTTACAATTCCTGGGCATGTCCTGAGAGGCTTGGTTTGAATTCTGTGGAGGCCGTGTCCAGGCTATGACGTTAACTGGAAAGTCGTGATTGCCAAGGTGCCTGACAGACCTCTCTTCCCAGCATTCCTCCTCATCCAGTTTGTTGAGGCCTAAAAATCCATCATTCTGTCGTCATGTTGAGGAATTACTGAGTCATTGTTCTCTGCTATAAAAGTGGACTGCAGGGTATAAATGAACATGTATTCAGTCAGGTCTCCTTCTCACAGAGAGCTAGTTTGGAGCATTTTTTCTATGGAAAGAGACATATAATTAATTTTCGACAGAGACTAAGACGTAAAAGCAGCTGTCGTGGCTTCTAGCAGGGAAAGAGACAGTCACACATGACATGGTCCCACGTAGGCAGGACTGAGACCGAAGGCAATGGTTATCCAGTGTGGCAAACTGTATTCTACAAAGATGTCACAACTGGTAACTACCACAGTCATATGCTTTCAAAATGTGAAGTTTGACCGGGTGCGGTGGCTCACGCCTGTAATCCCAGCACTTTGAGAGGCCATTGTGAGAGGATTGTTTGAGTCTAGGAGCTCGAGACCAGGCAGGGCAACACACAGCAAGACCTTGTTTCTACAAAAAGTCAAAAAGTTAGCCGGGCATGGTTGTCTGCGCCTAAGTCCCAGCTACCTGGAAGGCTGAGGCGGAAGGAGGTTGAGGCTGTGGTGAGCCATGATTGTGCCACTGCACTCCAGGCTGGGTGACAGAGTGACACCTTATTTCTTTTTTAAAAAGTGAACTTCATACTCTCTCATCAAGAAGTAAGGTCTATATTTTTCCCTTGAACCTGGGTGGACCTTTGTAACTGACTTGACAAATAGAGAGTGATGAATGTGATGCCATGTGACACCCAAGGTTAAGTCACAGCCATAGCTGCCACTGCCACTGTCTGTCTCTATATCTTTATCTCTATCTCTCTATTTCTAACGCTCTATCTAGCTCTCTATCTCTGTCTCTTTCTGTCTCTCTATCTTTTACTCTGTCTCTCTCTATCTCTGTCTCTGTTTCCATTTTTCTATCTTTATCAATCTCTTTCTGTCTCTCTTTTTATCTTTAACTCTCTATCGCTATTTCTATTTATCTCTATTTCTATCTCTCTCTCTCTCTCTCCCCCTGCTCCCTTCCTTTCTCTTTCTCTTTCTCTGTTTTTCTCTCTCTTGCTCTTGCCCTCACTCTCGACATGCACCTCAGAGGCCCTAAACCAAAATGTACAAAGTCTGGCTGTTGTGGAGTCACCCAGAAGATACTAGAGAGGCCACACAGGGCAGAGAGAAGTGCCGCATGTGACTCCAGCTCCTGGCTGTGCGTAGCTCTCGGGGTGCAGCTGAGACAGGGTGCGCCGTGTCCCTGCGCCCTGCCACAACTGCACATTTATGAGCAAATAACTGCTGCATTTTAAGTCACTAAGCCTTGCGGTAGTGTATCACACAGTCATTGACCCAGTGGGAAAACGCTTGCAGGGTTGTGGATTACCAGGGCATCAAGGAGCAGCGAGGTGGGGTAGGGGAACCACAGAAAAGGGGGACAACGCCGTCGATGCATGCGGGAATCAAGGGTATGTGAGCAGCAGGCCCTGAAGATGGGGGCACAGAGAAGGGTTAGCTTTATTCACTACCCTGAAGGCTGGAATGAATGCCCAGCTGGTAACATGGACATTCAGCTAACCAGATGGCCCATTCCTCGAGTACTCCAGGTCACTGAGACTGGCCTGAGCATGGCACTGTGGGGGCCATGTCCACATGGAGTGATAGGGGCACTGGGAGAATGCAGGGGGTTGGATGAAGCAGCTTAAATTAAAGATCCACAGAAGGCAGGGGTCACCTGATGGAGTTTCTCCACCTCTCTGCACACCCCTTCTTGGCCTCCTTTCACCCAAATTTCCTCCCACTCGGCGCCAGCTGTGGACCTTGTCAGGGCTCTATCTGTCCCAGCTCTTTCCCACCCTAGTCTCATGCAGGTCATGGCAGGAGCTTCTGTTTTCTCCCGCGAGCCTCAATTCTCTGGTCTCATTTTATTTTTTGGAGAGACGAGGTTTCGATATGTTGCCCAGGCTGGTCTTGGACTCCTGGTCTCAAGCAATCCTCCTGCCTCAGCCTCCCAAAGTGCTGGGATTGCAGGTGTGAGCCATAATGCCTGGCGGGCACTCTGGTCTCTAAATCAAGCTTGAGTCTTTCTCCCAAGTTCCACACCTCAGTTCACCTGGCTATTGGGTATTTCTGCCTGGCATTTGTATTTCTCATACCCAGCAGGTCCCAACTGTCCTGAATGTTGCTCCCTTGAGTCTGCTCCATTTTCCACAGTCCTTCTTCAATAGATGGCACGTTCATTCCCACAGCATCCAAAGAGGGAATGCCGGCATTGTCGTCAATGCCTTCCTTCGCCTTCATTTCCAGGTCCTGCTGACAACAGCCATCCGAGCTCTGGAACTTCCCTGGGGTCCTCCAGCAGCTTCCCAGTAGGTTGGCATTACCTCCCTGAACATCCTCTGCCCTGCTGACAGTCATCCTTCTCAGTCGCAAAGTTGACCTCGTCATCCTCTGCTTACATTCTTCCAGCGGCCCACCAGGGCTGGCAGGGAGATCACACGCTCCTTGGGCTAGATTCATCACCTCCAATCCCTCTATACTCCACCCTGCAGCTGGGCAGGGCTGCTTGCCCTCTGCTGCAAGCTGTCTTTGGAGTGGGCCCGGCTCACGTGCCCCTGTGATGGTGCATAGATAGATGACGTCCTCTGGCCACACTCGGACCTTTCCAAGCCACCCTCACCTCCATTTGGCCAAGGTCATAGCATCTTGGAATGAGCTTGAGGCCACCCCTGCAACTGGCTCAAGTTCTTCTGGTTTCAGGGTCCATTTTAGGTACGAATACGGTCACTCATGACGACATCCACTGTGATGTTTTCACACCAGGAAACACCCTCTGCTCACCTGTTATTTTCCTCTGGACAGTGAGCTCTCAGGAGCAAGCTGGGTTGCATTCAATACTGTCTCCTTGCCCCCAGCATCGCACCAGCCTTTTCAAGGTAGAAGGTTTTCATAAAGCTGGTTGGTCCCCTAAATAGACACTTGCAGCTTTTTTTTTTTAAACATTGTCTTGTATTGAGGTTAAAGTGCTGACAAGTGCTAACTTCTGAACCCAAGACACCCTGAGTTGCATCTGACTACTTTTCTCTGCTAAACATCATTCTGCAGGAGTCCTGTGACATCATAACACTACTCTATGGCTCACCCAGGGCATCAGGCATTTCTCAGAGGCGTCTTGCCTGTTTTGACTGACTCCTCCATCGGGGGCATGGGAGAGTAGGTGCTTTGCACTCAGTGTGGAAAGGAATTTACCTCATGGGCTTGCACAACATTCCTGCCACTCCTTGCCCCACCCTACCTCACCCCCAGAGCCTGCATACAGCCCACAAGGCTTAGCAACAGCACACCAAGGGAGCAAGTGCCCAGGTCACCCTCCTCTTGTCTCCCCACACCCTAACCAGCACACCACTACTGCTGACACCCCGCCGCTGCCGCTAGTCTTCTGAACAAGCGCCTACTCCTCTTCAGCCTGTCAACCCTGCAACCAAGAGCCGTAACTTCATTTCTTTAATCATTTCTTCAATCACCCCTGCAGGAACTCCGAGAAAGAGTCACACCAAAACACTACTATCAGTCCATCTAACCGTTATTACTTCACATCTTGGGAGATGTTTCTGACAGCCAGTCAAGAGCACAGATGGAAGTCACGGTGGCATAGAAGCATCTCCTGGAGACATGGGAAGCTAACGACGGGGGAAGGGAAAGGGTTGAAAGGGGAGACAGGAGGGCATTAAATACACAAGCTGCCTACTCCATGACCTCACCCAGGGAAAGCCCTGCTGAGCAAGTCCTGTTTCGAGTGCAGGTTGATTAGATGCTAAGGACCGCCAGATCGATTCCTCCTTCAAACAATCCTTGATCCGCAAGGCCTCAAAAGAAAGAAGGACTTCATACAAGAAGACTGATGTGATAAGATTTCTGGAGGGAGACATATTTCACCTTTCAGCTTCACTTCCCAGAAAAAATACTGGAGTGGGGAATAAAAGAGTTTCTTCTACCAATAAAATTACCCTTCAAAGTCTGGGTCTTGAAGAAAACACCTAGGAGTTTTTCTCCAGCTCTGTTATAGCCGCTGTGTACTACCTAAACTCCTCGAGGGGTTGCTGTGGTCTCACAAAGCCTTCTACTCACCAACTAGCTGGGTCTTGGGAGTACTGTCATATCAGCTATCTTTATTTAAATATCTAGGCTGCCTTGCTTCAATCATCCCATATTTAGTAATACTTCAGTTGTCTGCATCTCAAATTTTGTTTGCTGGTGTCGTGTTGTAACAACTCCCTGGGGCCTCCATAATAACATGTGCTGCCAGTAGATAAGGAAGTCAGCGTTACACAACAGAGAGTCCAAAGGCATAGACAGAAACCACCATGGCTCATAACCCTTTGGCTCCCGAAAATTGGGCAGGCCACCCTATTTTTTTCATGTGTCAGTTTCCTAATCTGCAAAGCATGGTTATCAACACCCACCTTACAGGTCAGTTATGAGGTGAGGCAGACCCAACAGTGCCCACAGACACTAGGTCTTCTTGATAAAGCAGCTTCTTCTTAAGATAAATGTCAGTATTGTCAAATGACCCATGATCAATCTAACTTGATCGTTTTTTTCTTCTTTTTTTTTTGAGTCAAAGTCTCACTCTGTTGCAGGCCACTGCAGCCTCAACCTACTGGGCTCAGGCAATCCTTCTGCCTTAGCCTTCCAAGTAGCTGGGACTACAGATCCACGTCACCATGCCCGGTTAATTTTTTGATTTATTGTAGAGATGAGGTCTTGCCAAGTTGTCCAGGCTGGTCTTGAACTCATGGGCTTAGGCAATCCTCTCGCCTTGGCTTCCAGTCAAGAGCACAGCCCACTATAAAGTGCTCAGATTATAAGCACGAGCCACTGTGCCCAGTTTAACTTTATAGTTCACCGGACATAAAATGTAAATATGCCAGTAGACATGAGCTTCACACTGCAAGTCATCCTCTTCAAATATTTGGATAATCAGAACATTGACCTATGGCATCCAATATTAACTCTAGCTTTTTCTATTAACTCCAGTATTAACTCGTATCAACTGACATGATTTGAGGGTCAGACTAACCCTCAACAATCATCGACTCTAATCATCCCTCTTAATTGCCTGGTAGACTCATCTCTTTTGAGAGTTACATGTATGGCAAGTATAAATACAAAACAGTAAATGAATGAGTGAATGTCATATTTTCTTATTTTTCAAATCAAATTGAATCTGACTGTGGTCCCCTGTCTCACTAAGTTAATGGGAAATTCAAGCTGAGCCATTATTGGGTCTCTCTTTGAGGGTTGCCTCTGGGTGGTGGGTCCTAACACTGACAGGCTGTTTGGGGAAGGCCGTCTGGCTTTTATCCTACACTGGTTGCTACTGAATGCCTCACTGCCAAGGCTATGTGGTCCTTTCAATTTTGACAATTCTGCCCTTTCCGTGTCATGCTCAGACACAAGGGCTTTGCTTGGGCTAGGACACAGGACCAGCCTTCACAAAGATACCTTGCAACTGTTCTTGAAGTTGGTCTGTGGAGCAAGGGTCCCTGTAATTCAAGGAAATGCACATCTTCCTGTCCCTTCCCCATCAGAATCCCTTGAAGGAGCTCAGGTTTTTAAAAACAAAAGGCAGGAAGGGGGTATCTTCCCTCCCTTCTGCTTCCCAGTTGCCAGCACAGACCTCTGAGGTTGGAGAACAAAGGTCCAGATTATTGCTCAGAAACGGAGGGGAAAAAAGGCAGAAAACCCATGTCAAAAGAGCATGCTTTCTATTTTAAAAAAATATAGCAATAAACATAAAACACAAATACAAATCACAAAATAAGCTATCCTGGCACTTTCTACTATAACAGCCCTTGACCCCAGGAGTTGACGATCTAATGGTGAAAGAGAGAACGCTGCTTGTTCCAAAGCAAGGCACATGCGGGTGTCACAGGGGAGTCATAGCGTCCATGTGTGTGAGAGTTCAGGGGTGCATTCCCAGGATGGGGGACATAATTCAGCCTGAACTTTTCACCCCTAGTAACAGTATCAGGAAGAACTGGAGGCTTGGAGCCCAAATAAATAGTTGTGGCTGAGACCACTCGTGAGATCAGCCCTGTGTTGGGCACACAAGCGGCTGGTGCCAACTACTCTCATGTAGGAGTGTGAGGGACACAGGTGGTTCTGGTGATGGATTTGGAACTGTCCAAAATGGGGGTCCCACACATAGTCGAAGTCCAGAGGAAGGGTTGGTGCAGGTGGGAGAAAAGGGAGGTGATGACAGAAGGAATGTAGGTTTCCACTAAGGTTGAGTCAGAAGGGGAGCTGCTCTTTGACTGACTAAAAAAAGAGGCCTGTAGTGTGAGAAGGATCAGGCTGCGGATTTTAGATTAAATTCCTTTTTTTTTTTTTTTGAGTTGGAGTCTCACTCTGTCGCCCAGACTGGAGTGCAGTGGCCGCTCCCAGCCACCGCAGCCTCGGCCTGCTGGGCTCCGACGATCCTTCCGCCTCAGCCTTCCAAGTAGCTGGAACTACAGGCGCGCACTACCATGTCCAGCTAATTTTTTGATTTATTGTAGAGATGAGGTCTCGCCAAGTTGCCCAGGCGGGTCTCGAACCCGCGGGCTCAGGCAATCCACTCATCTCAGCCTCCCAAAGTGCAGGATTACAGGCTGAGCCACCGAACCTGACTAGATTAAATTCTCAAAAAAAAAAAAAAAAAACTTCTAGGTAGGCTGGAAGGTTCTTGAGGGAACGGGCTGCGTCCTGTTACTCCTGATACTTGCAGATACATTTTGAAGGAAATAACGCTTGAAGTCAGGAATGCCATCAAAGAGAAGGATGGAAGAAGGGAGGTAGAAAGAAAAAAAAATAAGTAAGGTAAGAGAAGACAAGAAGGAGAAGGAAATATATCACAGCAGGGAAAGGAGAATTCAGTGAAGGGTGCCAAGGTATGGTCAGAGACGTTCTTTAAATGATGGAGAGATGCCTGCAAGGAGATGGACTGAGAAAAAGTCAGAGATCCCCGGAGACCTTGCCTGTGCAGCTGGGGCAAAGCAGATGGGCAGAAGTTCCACAGAGGCCTAAGGAGTGATACGTAACTAAATGAGCCGGTAGGGCTTGGGTGGGTGGAGGGTGACAAAGTGGCTGTGCGGACCCTACTTGCTGCTATCACATACATACCGAGACCCTCAACAAGGCGGCAGTTCTGAGGCTCCACCGGTTCCACTTCCCGAGAGGCAGCCACTCTCTCTCTGTAGAAGATAAAAGTCAACCTTGGAGGTCAGGGCATGGCCTCCACATCCACGTCTCACATGGCCCTTGCCAACCTCCATATCCGCTAACCCTTTTATCATCACAGAAGACAGCACATAAGCGGCACCTCCTTTTATGTGTGTGTATCCACATGATGTAGGCAATGTGTGGGCAACACACCTGTGTCAGCCAGCCTTACCCATTTGTTGCTGAAAGGCTAAAATGCAGTATACGGACCTAAAACATGCTGCTGCTCAAATAAAAGACACCACTCAGTGGCATGAGTAACGTAGCACTATTGTTAATTTACATGCACAGAACGATTTGCTTTTCTAAGCATCGTCGATTATGAACATGCACTTTCTCTATCCCCACTGGTCTTGTCCTTGGAACCTCTCCTTCCAAACCGCTTTCCCAAAATCCAGTGGTGTCTCCTAACAGCTAAACTCTGCAACTTTTGCTTCAACTTTAATTCTATGCTGACTTGCTTTGCAAGTATGTAAATGCATTGAACCAACCACAACATAAACAACTGGCTAAATTTATTTCTTAATGCCGTGTTCTTGTTTCCACAGTAAAATGAAATGTTTCCACACTTCTGAATATCAGAGATAGTTTTGATGAGGCTGTATTCAGGAAGACTCTACACTTAGATTTATCTCAAAGTCCCTTACAAAAAAGTTCCTTAGATTCACTTTGTTATTATTGTTGTATGATTGTCTCACGTGGTTGCACCAAGAGCAAATGTAAATGTAAAACCCTCAAACTGAACTAGAAGGTGTTACCAAAGGCCCATGTACCTCACCAGATTCAGGGGCTGAGATCAGCAGCCCCTGAGAGAAATAATGAAAACCGCTGGGACCCTGAGGGCAGGCCGCAGCTTCAGAGCCCTCAGGAGAGCGAGTCACCTGTGCCTCTTCTTGGCCCAGGCCAGGCTCCTCCCAGCAGAACCCCAGGGCTGTCACCACTGGACCTTGCACTTCATAGGACCACAGGCCTGCAAGACGCTGGGGCCCCGCGGGTTCAGCGCGCTCCTGGCCAGCTTTAAGTCCAGGACGGGCCCTCACCCAGCTGCTCCGCCTTTAGCCAGGGTGGGCCACTTCCCAGTCACACACCTAACCGCTGGCCTGACCCCTCCCGACTCCCACCTTCCTGGGACTCACAGGGTTGGGCGAGCTGGAGAGGGGGCGTGACCTTCATACCGTCCCTGGGCGACCCGCCCTCCGACCTTGGCAGCGCAGGGCGGCTTGCAGTCCACACCTGCGAGTCTCAGGGGTCGTGGGGGTGGGTCTGAGGCTCCAGGGCTGCTGTTCCCACCCGCCGGCAAGGGGGAGGAGAGGAAGGGCGCCACTCACCGAAACGCCACCAACCTCTCCCCGACAAGGGCCACAGCGGCCCCCAGCAGGGCCAGCACGACCAGCCGCCCCATGGTCTCGGCGCGTAGTGCTGGCGGGCGGGCCCACGGCAGGCGGTGG